CAGTGTACTTCTGGTGCATGTTCGTTTTGCCAAAAAGGGCATAACGCGCTGCTCTGCCGACGAACAGGTACAAGACCTGTGGAAAATATAGCGGATACGAGTGTATCACCATCATCAGCAGCTTCGGTAACAACGCCTAACTCTACATCCACAATTAACTCAGGTGCTGCGRCGAACCACACTTCTACCGGACCGCAAGTGTATTCCCGCCAGCAATAACAATTAGATAAGGTCCAGTCATTAGTTGTGCAAGATGACCGGACAATTTTACTTGCGACGGCTAAGGTGCTCCTTTCGGATTGCCATGGGAGGCCTTATGAATGCCGTGCATTATGCGACATCGGATCTCAGGTGAGCTTCCTCAGTGAATCCATGTTTAAAATTCTGAATCTTCGTAGAACTCCGGGGCAGATCCGAGTGGAAGGTATTGGAGGCAATGCAGCCACCTACACAAAGGGTTCCACAACTGTGCGATTGAGATCCCTCTTTRACGAGACTTTCTCGATGCAATTTGAAGTCTACATCCTACCAACGATTACGACTATGACACCAATATGCAAARTCGACTCCTCCGCCTGGGATCACCTTTCTGGACTCCAGCTTGCCGATCCAACATTTGGTACTCCTGCCAAAATTGATATACTTATTGGTRCAGATATTTGGCCTGCTTTAATTGCCGATGGGATTGCTGCGGGACCCCATGACGACCCATGCGCGCTCTGTACCGGCCTCGGTTGGATCGTGTTTGGCCCTGCGATGGTCAACACTCCAAATCATTTGACGCATACCCTAACTGTCAGGAAATGTATAGGTGATCAGCAACTCGATAAACTACTGCAAAGGTTCTGGCAGGTTGAGGACAATGGCCCTGTCCACAAACTCTCGGTAGACTCTTGTGAACGGATTTTCATTGACACAGTACGTCGCACAGTGAGTGGACGCTATAGTGTACAAATCCCGTTTCTTCTGAATGCTCCAGTGTTAGGAGATTCATATCAAACAGCACGGCGTCAGTTTTTTCATCTTGAGC